CTCAAGGAAGCCAAACATTCCATCCGCCGGAGACCACTCAGTCTCCGGTGATTGATAGAGGCACAGGTAGTCGCCCCATTGCACGTGGGGAAAGCCAGCGAACCGCTTATGGGTAGATCGGACTTCTGGGCGATCGAGCGGAAAGTCGGCCGGAATGGTGATGACCACGCGCTCCCGATGCCGCAGGGGTAGGCCGCCTTCGGCGTGCGAATACGTGCTGCAATCGATCGATAGTTCCGCCCGAAGCCTGCTCTCGCTGTCGGTGGGACGCGTGACCGATACAATCTCCATGGCTTGGTTGCTGGCGGCTACTTCTTGTAGCTGCGCCAGCGCCCATTCCTGCCCATCGGTCATGTCCGGCCGAAGCCAACTCGCTCGGTCGGGGGCCTATCTGTGCCTCTGGCAGCGGCGACAGCCTTCGCCAGCGTCGAACGGCTTTCCTCAGAGAGTTCCAGCGCATCGCCGACGAAGATGACGCCCCGTTCAGTTACCGAGAACACAACCGGCCGCATGTTTTCCGGCGTGCTGTACTCGCCGGTGCAGATGAACCCGCCAATTGCGATCTCCTCGTATCTGCGCCTCGCCTTGATATGCGGCGGGTTGTCGCCGGGACTGTTCGATGCCGGGAAAGCCGAGGAACTCGCGACAATGCAGCCGCCGTCGGCCTGAACGGCGTTCAGCTCATCGAGGATATCCTGCATCAGCACGTCGCTGCCGTCCTGATTCCGGACGTACATCACCTTCTTGGAGCAGTGGTGCGACGACAGATGGACGTCCCAGACGAGCCGGTCATCATTATTGTGACGATGGGTTTCATCGAAGATGCGGCGAATGGTCGGATAGCTGAGATCGCCGAAGAAGAGGCCGCAGCCGACTGTGCGGCCGTGGTACAGCCGCACCTGCAATGCGAGGCTCGTCTCGTTGCGTTCCCCAGCCGAGTCGTCCTTGAAGGGCGCATGGACGAACGCAGAGAAGAACTGGGATAGATCCTGACCGTCCACGATCTCGATCGATTGACCGGGGATGGTCAGAAACTTCCTCGGGAAGCCTCTGTAGTCATCTTTCCCGAGAAGATCGTCATAGCCGATCAGCCGGACGCGGTGGCCTCTGCCGGGGTCGCCTCCGGCGGCGATCGTATGCTTTACGCGCCGCTGTGCTTCCTCGCAGAATGCCAGCGCATCGGGACTGAGATCCTTCTTGTACTCCCAGAACACGCGAGGCGTGAACCACAATTCGCCAATCACGACGCGCTTAAGGAGCTCCTTGAAGCCCTTCACGTGGTCGAGGTCGGGATGCGTCAAGGCGAAGCAGGAGAGATACGGCTTGCCGTTGAGACGGGGCAGCTTGGCAACGAGCTCGTCAACGACCGGGATGCGCTCGTTGTCGGTGTTGTCGGCAGTTGCCCCGTCGTTGATGTCGATCTGAAGCGTGAAGTCGCCGACGATGGGAATCGTCGTGCTGTCACCGCAGCCAACAGGCCAGAAAACAAACGAGGGGTAGGTCAAATCGCCAAACACTGAAGTCTCCTTTCAAACGGGTAGGTGGTGCACTCCTAATTCAGCACTCCTATCCCGCGGCCTCGATCGACCGACCGGCGGTCGCCCAGGCACCCCAAAATGCGCCGGGGCAAGTGGATCTTAGTGCTCGGCGCAACGAATAGCGGAGAGAAGCGTTATCTCTTCGCCGCAAGCCCGATGCGCCTAGAAAGCATATGGGTAGCCTTTCTTTACCCGTCAAGATACTATGCGCAAGGTCGAGACCGGGGGATGTCGAATGCCGGACCAGAACGTGGAACTCAGCTGGAGCGTCGAGCAACGCCTTGAATTCATTGAGTTTCGGCTGTTTTGGGAAGGGAAGGTCAGACGCGCGGACCTTGTGGATGAATTCGGGATATCGGTCCCTCAGGCTTCGGCCGACATCCAGCGGTACGACGCCTTGGCTCCAGGAAACATCGAGTATGATGCCAGTGCGAAAACCTACGTCATAGCCGCGGCCTTCAAACCGCTTCTTTTCAAGCCATCGGCACGGCGTTACTTGAACTACTTGCGATCTATTGCCGACGGGGTGCTGCGTGCCGAGGAGGTCTGGCTCGGCTGGATGCCATCATTCGATGTCGTGCCGTTAGTTCGGCGCAAGCTAGACGCATCCAAGCTTCGAAGGGTGCTCGAGGCTATTCGCCATTGCTCAAGCATGAAGATTGAGTACCAGTCGATGAGGCGTCCGGAACCAACCACTCGTCAGATTTCACCACACGCCCTCGGATTCGACGGCTTTCGATGGCATGCCCGAGCGTGGTGCCATGCGCGTCGCGAGTTCCGAGATTTTGTTCTGGCGAGAGTAATCTCAATCTCCAAAGCGCCGCCCTCCGACATTGATCCAAAGCACGATTTTGCATGGCATCATTACATCGTGCACAGGATCGGCCCTCACCCCAAATTAGCAGCTGGTGCTCGAAAGGCGATAGAGCTCGACTACGGAATGAAGGATGGCATCCTAGAAATCCGAACTAGAGCTTGCCTATCATTCTATTTGTTGCGGCACCTACGGCTAGATCTCGCGTCACTCGAATTGGATCCAGCTCAACAACAGATAGTTCTGCTCAACGCGGCTGAAGTCGAGCGACAGGCGCAAAAGCACGCCTAGGCCCCCTCATGTAGAGGGCCGAGCTTGCCGAGATCGGCAAGGACGCGCCTGGAGGACATAATGGCGAAGAGAAAGGCGGCGGGTCAGACGATCTATGATTTGCTCAAGGGCGAGTTCGAGAACCTCACAATAGTGC